CGTTAACGATAGGGCCATTTATACGAGGAAAAATAAGACGCGTCTTAAATAAGACGCGAACTGTACCATTTATACGAGCATGTCTTATCTAACGTCTTAGCTAAGCCGCGTCTTATTTTAGACGAAATGTGCCGTTTATACGGAAAGTTCGCGTCTTATTTAAGACGCGTCTTATGTAAGACGCGTCTTAGTTTTCCTCGTATAAATGGCCCTAATGGTTACTACTACAAACGAAAACATCAAAAAGGACGTGGGAGGCAACCAGTGTCGATGAAGTGACGACCGCAAAAGGTAGGAATGTTTTACGTTTTGTGTTTTTTCTTTTACCCCAGTGCAATAATTTGCTCACGTTTCTGATCAGGTAACTCACAGCTAACTTGTATAATAATTTTGCCTCAAGTGAGTCTCCTTTAGTCAGCTACTCATAACTGAGGTTTCCGCACAGGCCTCGTAAAATACAACAATGACCTCAATTTTATAAATAGGAGTAAAAGTAATTGTTACAGGGTTAAAAAGTAAGCTTGAAAAGAAGGTGAATGCAATAACGAGGCTGAAAATCCACTAAAGGTTGTTAGAGCTGTAGCGAGGGCAAACCAAAACGTGAGGAGATCGGATTCTTCGTAAACCACAATGCCGATGATTGAGATAGTTCCAAGGATAAACTCGTGCTTATTCGCTACCGCGCGGGATGATTCCGCTATTTTATGATTATTTATCATCACATGATGAATGAAATTAGATATTTTACTATTCGGCTCTCAAGGAAACAGAAATGCATATCAGTACGCCGGATACACTATTATCTATCTGTTTCGCTTTAGAAAAATATCGTTGAGTGGACAATAATCTCAATGAGGGGAATCGATAAATTATATCACAAGCCTGAAGCATAACTGAATCACCACAGTACTACGAGTGCACCTCTAGGAACGCGCTCTGTGATTGGCTGATACTAAAATGTGGTAATTATTGACGTTAGTTACCTAGTTATTCACATCAACAAGGCAACCAGAAAGTAATTTAGGTTTGGGGTGGTTTGGGCGTTAGTTGGAATTGTGAGGGTTGCTGGAACTGTGGAGTTGTGAGGGTTGTGAGGGTTGTAGGAGTTGCGAGGGTTGTGGGGGTTGTGAGGGTTTTAGGGGTTGTGGGGGTTGTGGGGGTTGTAAGGATGTGGGCGTTGTGGGGGTTGTGGGGGTTGTGAGGGTTGTGAGGGTTGTAGGGGTTGTGAGGGTTGGGGGTTTGTGGGGTTGTAGGGGTTGTGAGGGTTGGGGGTTGTGGGGTTGTGAGGGTTGTGGGGGTTGTCAGGGTTGTTGGGGTTGTCAGGGTTGTGGGGGTTGTAGGGAGTTGTGAGGGTTGTAGGGGTTGTGGGGGTTGTGGGGGTTGTGGGGGTTGTGGGGGGGTTGTGAGGTTGAGAGGGTTGTGGGGGTTGTGAGGGGTTGTGGGGGTTGTGAGGGTTGTGAGGGTTGTGAGGGTTGGGGTTTGTGGGGGTTGTAGGGGTTGTGAGGGTTAGGGGTTGTGGGAGTTGTGAGGGTTGTGGGGTTGTAGGGGTTGTAGGGGTTGTGGGGTTGTGAGGGTTGTGGGAGTTGTGGGGTTGTGGGGGTTGTGGGGGATGTGAGGGTTGTAGGGGTTGTGGGGGTTGTGCGGGTTGTGAGGGTTGTGGGGGTTGTAGGGGTTGTAGGGGTTGTGGGGGTTGTGAGGGTTGTGGGAGTTGTGAGGGTTGTGGGGGTTGTGGGGGTTGTGGGGTTTGTAGGGGTTGTAGGGGTTGTGGGGGTTGTGAAGGTTGTGAGGGTTGTAGGGGTTGTGGGGGTTGTGGGGTTTGTAGGGGTTGTAGGGGTTGTGGGAGTTGTGAGGGTTGTGGGGGTGTTGGGGGTTGTGGGGTTTGTAGGGGTTGTAGGGGTTGTGGGAGTTGTGAGGGTTGTGGGGTTGTGGGGTTGTGGGGTTTGTAGGGGTTGTAGGGGTTGTGGGAGTTGTGAGGGTTGTGGGGTTGTGGGGGTTGTGGGGTTTGTAGGGGTTGTAGGGGTTGTGGGGTTGTGGGGTTGTGGGAGTTGTGAGGGTTGTGGGGTTGTGAGGTTGGGGGTTGTGAGGGTTGTGGGGTTGTGAGGGGTTGTGGGAGTTGTGAGGGTTGTGGGGGTTGTGAGGGTTGGGGGTTTGTGGGGGTTGTAGGGGTTGTAAGGGCTAGTGAGGGTTGTGGGAGTTGTGAGGGTTGTGGGGTTGTGAGGGTTGTGGGGGTTGTGGGGGTTGTGGGGGTTGTGGGGGTTGTGAGGGTTGTGGGGGTTGTGGGGGTTGTTGGGGGTTGTGGGGTTCTGGGGGTTGTGAGGTTGTGGGGTTGTGAGGGTTGTGGGGTTGTGAGGGTTGTAGGGGTTGTGGGGGTTGTGGGGGTTGTGGGGGTTGTGGGGGTTGTGAGGGTTGTGGGGTTGTGGGGGTTGTGGGGGTTGTGAGGGTTGTGGGGGGTTGTGAGGGTTGTGAGGGTTGTGGGGGTTGTGGGGGTTGTGGGAGTTGTGAGGGTTGTGGGGGTTGTGGGGGTTGTGGGGGTTGTGAGGGTTGTGGGGGTTGTGGGGGTTGTGGGGTTGTGGGGTTGTGGGGTTGTGGGGTTGTGGGGTTGTGGGGTTGTGGGGTTGTTGTGGGGTTGTGAGGGTTGTGAGGTTGTGGGGTTGTGAGGTTGTGGGGGTTGTGGGGGTTGTGAGGGTTGTGAGGTTGTGGGGGGTTGTGGGGTTGTGAGGGTTGTGGGGGTTGTGAGGGTTGTGGGGGTTGTGGGGGTTGTGAGGGTTGTAGGGGTTGTGGGGGTTGTAGGGGTTGTAGGGGTTGTGGGGGTTGTGGGAGTTGTGAGGGTTGTGGGGGTTGTGGGGTTGTGGGGGTTGTGAGGGTTGTGGGGGTTGTGGGGGTTGTGAGGGTTACATACATACACTTTACACTTTATTGATGCTCCCTAAGTGGGCTTTTCAGCTCAATAGAATAAAAAAATACAAATATATAAATTAATTGAGAATGTAAATACAATAATATTATAATTACAAGATATAGATCAATAATATAATATATCAACTTAATAAAACATTTGCAAGATGACGTCTAAAATTCCTGGGGCATTTTAAGGACTTATGTTATCATTCAAGGAGTTCCAGAGTTTAGCTCCTCTGAAAGCAAAGGAGCGCTGCCCTGTTGACAGGCGACATAAAGGTATATCCAAAGCACCAGATGATCGAGTTTGTCTATTATGGACTTGAGAACGTGATTTAAACATATCAGCAAGATAGTCTGGAACAAGCTTGTTAATACATTTGTGCATCATAGTAGCGTCATTTAGAATGAGTTTCTCTCTAATAGGAAGCCATTTCAACGATCGCAACCCATCCGAAATATGGTCATACTTTCTTAGTCCCAGAATAATTCGCCCAGCAAAGTTTTGGACTTTTTGTAACTTGTCAATATTGCTGCTGCTGGTATTACTCCAGACAGTTGAACAATATTGGAGTTTACTAAAGACAAATGAATTTATTACTAACAGAAGTGTTTTCCTATCCAGGAGGTGCTTGATTCTGTTAATTTGGTACAATTTAAAAAGGCATTTAGAGGCAATCTCAGTGATATGTTGGTTATAACTGAGGCGTGTGTCGAGAAGAACACCCAAGTCCTTAACGACAGGCACAGGTGTTATTTCCTTGTCAAAAAGTGTTATACTGAATGATGACAGTTTCTTTAAAAGTTGTGGTAATCCAACAGCTAGAACCTTAGTTTTGTCCGGATTAATCAAAAGAGAGTTTTTACAGCACCACTGAGATATTCTCGTAAGATCTTCGTTTAAGGCGAGGATGGACGTGGGTAATTCGGCAGGTGAAAAGGACAAATACAATTTACAATCATCAACATAGGAGGCAGATAGACAACGTTTAGGAACAGAAAGGAGGTCGTTAACATAGATTGTAAACAAAACCGGACCTAAAATAGAGCCTTGCGGAACTCCGAACTCAAGTGGGAGTACTTTAGAAACTGTGTCACCAATTCGAACGCACTGTTGTCGGTTAGAAAGGCAACTCTGAAACCAATCCAACGCACCCTGGGAAAAATCGAGATTTTGTAGCTTGGATAACAAGATGTCGTGTCGAATACTATCAAATGCTTTAGACATATCTAATAAGACCATGATGGAAACTTTCTTGTTATCCATAGCCTGGAGCAACTGATCTGTAACGTACAACAGAGCTGTTTCTGTCGAGTGAAGCTTTCTATTTCCGCTCTGATGTGCTGCCAGTTTATTATTTCTAATTAGATGCTCCATAAGTTGTCCATGTACCAACCTTTCAGTGACTTTTGAGACTATTGGTAATAATGAGATGGGGCGATAGTTGTTAGGGACATCTGGATTACCGCATTTGAGAATAGGTGTAACCTCTGCTGTTTTCCATGCACGTGCAAATGTGTTGGTAACAAAGGAGTTATTCACAATGTGGGTAATTGTTGTTAGCGTACTGGGTAAACTGTCTTTAAGAATTCTAGAAGATATCTTGTCCATTCCAGGAGCTTTGTTAGATGGTAGGCTTCTAATCACCCTTTCTACCTGATTTTCCGTGACTTGATGGAGAACGAATAATTCGGGGCTAACGTCGGTGGATATGTGTAAAGGAGTCGGCACATCCAAATTTACATTAAGTCCATGATGTAAAGATAAGTCCCTGGCTTTTTGAGCAGTAATACTGCCGACGGAAGTGAAGAAATCATTTAATTCGTTAGCTAACCCATTGGGATCCTCAGAAGCCATAAAACTATCTTGTTGTTTACGTGGTAGACACCGGTTAATGATTTTCCAAATTGAGTTAGAATTTCCATTGCTATCCAGGATCTGAGTCCTGACGCGAACTTTTTCGGCCACACGAATCTCCCTTTTCACTTCTTGACGAAAAAATCTGTATCCGTTCCAGTGGAAAGGGTCATTTGTTTTTCCCGCAAGTTTGCGCCATTGGTCGCGCGTTCTCATTAGTTGACGAATTTCTGGTGTTATAAAGGGGTTAGGTTTAGATCTAATTTTAACCCTCTTGACTGGAGCATGTTGACTTAGTACTTCCAAGAACAGTTCGTTGAATACATCAACTTGATCGTTGAAATCGTCAAATAGGCTTATTATGTGAAAAGGCGCATATGACAAATCACGTAGGAAATTGTCGGCGCTGTAATTAGTATAGCTTCTAATAGTGACCTAACAGGGCTTGATCCTTGGCTTTTTTAACTTCAGCGAGATGTAAACAAGATTGTGATCGCTAATAGTTGACATAAGGACGTCGTTTGAAGCAATTAGTTTAATTAGGAATGTGGGGGTTGTGGGGGTTGTGGGGGTTGTGGGGGTTGTAGGGGTTGTGGGGGTTGTGAGGGTTGTGGGGGTTGTGGGGGTTGTGGGGGTTGTGGGGGTGGTGGGGGTTGTGGGGGTTGTGGGTTGTAGGGGTTGTGGGGGTTGTGGGGGTTGTAGGGGTTGTGGGGGTTGTGGGAGTTGTGAGGGCTGTGGGGGTTGTGGGGGGGTGTGAGGGTTGTGAGGGGTGTAGGGGTTGTGGGGGTTGTGGGGGTTGTGAGGGTTGTAGGGGTTGTGGGGGTTGTGGGGGTTGTGAGGGTTGTAGGGGTTGTGGGGTTGTGGGGGTTGTGGGGGTTGTGAGGGTTGTAGGGGTTGTGGAGGTTGTGGGGGTTGTGAGGGTTGTGGGGTTGTGAGGGTTGTGGGGGTTGTGAGGGTTGTGGGGGTTGTAGGGGTGTAGGGGTTGTGGGGGTTGTGGGGTTGTGAGGGTTGTGAGGGTTGTGGGGGTTGTGAGGGTTGTAGGGGTTGTGGGGGTTGTGGGGGTTGTGAGGGTTGTAGGGGTTGTGGGGTTGTGGGGGTTGTGGGGTTGTAGGGGTTGTGGGGGTTGTAGGGGTTGTGGGGGTTGTGGGGTTGTGAGGGTGTAGGGGTTGTGGGGGTTGTAGGGGTTGTGGGGTTGTGAGGGTTGTGGGGGTTGTGGGGGTTGTGGGGGTTGTGGGGGTTGTGGGGTTGTGAGGGTTGTAGGGGTTGTGGGGTTGTGGGGTTGTGAGGGTTGTGGGGGTTGTGAGGGTTGTGGGGTTGTAGGGGTGTAGGGGTTGTGGGGGTTGTGGGGTTGTGAGGGTTGTGAGGGTTGTGGGGGTTGTGAGGGTTGTCAGGGTTGTGGGGGTTGTGGGGGTTATGAGGGTTGTAGGGGTGTAGGGGTTGTGGGGGTTGTGGGGGGTTGTGAGGGTTGTAGGGGTTGGGGGGGTTGTGAGGGTTGTGAGGGTTGTGGGGGTTGTGGGGGTTGTGAGGGTTGTGGGGGGTGTGAGGGGTTGTGGGGGTTGTGGGGGTTGTGAGGGTTGTAGGGGGTGTAGGGGTTGTGGGGGTTGTGGGGGTTGTGAGAGGTGGTGGTAGGGCAATGCAGTTATTAAGGATAAAAATATTCATGATATCAATGTAGCCTTCGTTCAGTGCAAACTCTCACAATATACTCTCCGTTTCAAGAACACCTTATTTTACTTGATCAATTTGCGATCTCATCTGAATTCAAAGTCAGCCACGAATATATCCGAAGCGCTCTTATTTTTCTGATTCCTGTGAAGATAACTAAGGCGAAGGGCAAATATCTGCGCTCCTGCCACTCATTTGAAGTCACTTTTTGTGAGAAAATTGAAGAAATCTGAGCACGGCTTGTCAGTTAGAAGAATGACTTTCATTCATTTTTGTTGAAACTGCAATATTAGTATCCTTTTTCTGTAACACAAATCGTTTACCTCCTGTCATCTTTACCCGTATGACTTCCTAAAGCAAAAGTGATAAAATAAAGAGAACACAACTGATAAAAAATTTTAACAATGAAAGGCTTGAGAAAATTGACTTCCTGGGCCCGATTCCCGTGAAACTAGGTCAATTAAGGGTAATACAGGGCCCGCTTCCTAAAAGGCCGATTAGCACTAATCGAGGATTAAACATGGTTTAATGTAGGAGTAAAAGATGTTCAGGAGTTGTTTGAAAGTTCAAACCCGATAATTTTTAACTTTTATTTTTATTATCAAAAGAGCGCCTACAGACACATGTGTTTACAATGATAAGAAAGATTTTAGTCCATATTCCCAGAGTTGTACATTTGTAGAATTTATACAACTAGACAAGGTTATATCTGCGGAAGCGATCACATACGTATTTAACCACAATTTTTTGCGTTTTCACTCCTTATCAACGATGAAAAAGCAGAGCTTGGAGTCATAGAGTCAAGAAAGAGATTAGTTTGCTTTTTTAGCGTATTGAACAGCTCTCTCCTAGGATCCCTATAAGCTATGCAATTCATCAAAAAATGCTCCTCGTCTTCTAATCCAGTTTTACATAATGGACAGATTCTTTGATCTGGTGGTTGATAGGGTTTAACGTATCGCCCAGTTTCAATTGCTAGTTTGTGGCTGCTTAATCTTAGCTTTGTGATTGCTACTCTATGATTGATGTTTCTTACATTTGTGAGGTAATTTTCGTAGTCATGGGTAAGTTTAAATTTCCTAAAAGTTCTTAGTTTTTTTTTTTTGATGCGGGTCCTTTCGTTCATCATTGTGTATTTCACGTTCGCTGTTCTATGTCTAAGAGTCTCTGTCGTATATAGCTCATAGTTGCGGGAGTGTTCGTTTTCACTGACCATATGTCGCCAAGACCTGCGCCGAGATTTAATAGGCGTTTTAATTTGCTGGGCCAAAGTTCCTTTTTGTCTTGACCAATTTGATCTGTAAATGCTATTCCAGAGAGTTTATTTTGGTGCTCCGGCTCACAAAATTTCAGCCAATATTTAATGGCTCTGCACTTTGTCTTCGTTCGCATTGGGAAACGGCCTACCTCCGATCTGCACGCATTTGAGCTACAGAATTTTGTTAACTCCCAATAGCCACCTAATGAACTTTGTTTGTACAAACTCAATTGGATCATTTTCTAGCCAAGCACAGTGCAACCTTATTGTCAGGGGAACCCATCAGGACCAACGCAAGCGTCCCTTGAATGATCAACAACTGTAGCAATGACAAAACAGTTTAAAGACTGTTAAGCTTGGTTTCCATATGATCGTCCAGATCGTCCCGATCGTCCCAGTCGCCTCAAAAAATGTTCAGACGATCGGAACGATCATATGGAAACGCTACCCAGGCGATCGCAAACGACCCGGACGACTGAGACGAGTTGAGTTCTATCCGGACGATCGGGACGATCATGTAAATTTTGAAACGATCATATGGAAACGCTCTCAGACGACTGAGAGAGGTCCTGAGACGATCGGGACGATCGAAGGCTATCCCAGAAGTCATCACTTTTATTCCAGTAATCGAGAATAAATTCGGCCCGGATGGCGCTGAAGCCGAGAAAGTAATACACAAATGTTTGCAGAGCGTATGGGGGTTATTTAAAATTAGAGAAAGTCCGTGACATCAAGTTTTCGATGTCCCCGGGAGGAACTACGCGCTTCAGTCAAAAGACTCACACTATCTTTAGAAAAAGACTAAGCAATTCAATTCTCCATGGTAAGTTTATGTAGCTTCAGTTTAAGCTGCAGTTCACTCTTATAATTTTGGATCTGTAAGTCACTATCCGTGATAATTTAACATTCCGCAAACTGAAAACTGACGAGCTGGGCCCAGCGTGATACAGCATTGCAGAAAAACATTACACTCACGGATTGAAGTAGTCTGCAAAAACATCCGTTTCTCCTCGCTCTTCTCCGCTGGTGACGTTTCGCGCGAAACGTCCCCAGCGGCCAAGAGTGAGGAGAAACGGATGTTTTCGCAGGCTTGTACTGAAGAAAATCGCTTAGTTATTCAGATCCATAAGGCACTTTGGAGTAAATTGGAACCCTCATTCAGCCGTAATAAAAAAGCTTTACGCTACAAAAGAGGTCAAAGAAAATGCGTTTGCATCAGAGGGCAAACCCTGCCGACCAGAAAACAATAACTACAGTCAATCGATATGTATGTCATGACCTCTCAGTGTGAAACATGCTGCTAAAATCACATTTGCTCAGTAAAAATGCAGAACCTTCCAGAGCATAATCTACCCAGCAGATAAAAACAATTTTATTGGAATAAGCAGCATTTTGGCTTGAGGTAAAAGTCTACCACCCCCTTTTATTGCTAAGGTCGGCATGTTTGCAGGAAAAGTTTGCTGCACGTCCAGACGAAACAAATGTCGCTCGCACGTCCATACACTACTTTTGCGAGCAAAACACACTCTCCCCTTCCTTTATGAAGAAACAACGATCGTCCTTCGTGCTCGTCTTACAAGAAAAGTGAGACGAACCTACGAACAAAACGGCGCTTGGACAGTTCCGCTTTGGTTTCTTGGGAGCCGGCTGGTTTGTTCCTCCAAGATCATAGCCACATTCCTCGCAATTTGGAGGCTTCCTTCGAGTAAAGTAAGAACGTCCGCACTGCGGACATGAACCAAAACCTCTTTTCGTGTTCTTAGATGACAGCATGTTGACAGACGTGGCTTACACACAAAGACAGATAGAATAGCGGCGACAAACGGTACGAAATGGAGAACGAGAAAATACAAAACTGAGACGATGACTACCTTTGGCACGAGTGCAATGGAGCAAATAAGATAACGAACAGACAAGGAACAAAAAAACAACGTTACCAACACTTTTGCCGAACGAAGTGAAGCGAAGAAACACCAAATAGAGGTCAAGAAAACGGCACTTGCAAAGCGAAATGGATAGGACAACTAGCACGAATACAAGATTAACAACAGAAAATACTAGCGAACCTCTTGGCACAAGAGACAATGAACAAATGCGGAGAAAATAAACCTGGATATGCGATTAATCGAAAGGACAAAGATGAAGGATATCGAGCACGTCGAAATGAGCGGCATTAGCGGCTGGTTTATGTTACAACCTGGTGGCGAAATACTGAATAAGCGAATCGGATGGCTTACAACCCACGCAACCCTGTCAAACAATCCAGCCAATCACAGAGCACGTTACTAGAGGTGCATGTTAACTGGTAGTGCTTCATTTTTGAAAGGAGGAATGTTTTCATTACCCGAAGTTTTCCAATGTAATATAGTCCCAGGTTTGCGATGTTTGAACTTTAGCTCACTTGTCCCTTGGACATTTTCATGTCGCGTCATGCATGAATTTGGAACGCGGGATTATCCCGCACCCCAAAATATAGAAGAGGGTCTGATTTGTCTATGTGCGGAATATTCCGCTATTTGCTGCGGAGCGACCGTAGGGAGCGAGCAGTAACATAATCAGGATAGCAGGGCAGAAAAACCGCTGATTGGTTGCCGTTTTCGCGGCAGTTTGTGTTCTCCGCTGACCATCTTACAACGAATCAAGTAGTCTACAAAAGAGAGCAAAGTTTGAAGCCAAATACATAGTTAACCATGACTAGTTCGGTGATTATGATCTGATATCCCCAAACTAGAACTCATTGACAGGCGATGTCAAGAGTTGTAGCGAAATCAGATCAGGAATACACTTTAGGGTGCTTGCTGAAAATGCGCGAGACAGTGTGTAGTTCATAGAGACATTATACGACCAATAGCTCTTAAACAATTTGCAAAAATAAGAAACAGGTGGAGTATTTAAGGTTCAAAATTCGACCAACCAAAAGGCTAAAAGCCAAGAAGCAAAATAAGAAATACGTAAAAAAATCGAACAGTACGTTTTTCTGTGGCTTGCTGTTTTTTGTTTTTGCATCCCCCTCGCGGTGAAAACACTCGAACGTAATCGCCGGTGAGAAGCTTCCACAAATGTACAGCCAATCTTACCTCTAAAAGGATCGATCCTCTTGCACTTAGAAGGTAGATAGCAGCGCTAAAATATATTTCCTTGGACAAGTAAAAAAAGGAAAAGATTTGTAAACATCAAACTCTTCGCCTACGGCTTGTGTCCACTTACTGACTGGTAGGCGCCAGCTTCCCGGCCTCATGCTTTGCGCGCGAAATTATGAATGAAACTGGAGACGCCGCTCGTTTTTTCCCGCTTCAAAAAGCTTCAAAAATGTCAAAAAATAGTCACCGACCGCTTCACTGTCAAGTTCCGGTCTTTTTGCGTGCGTTTCCGGCGGAAACTTCAGTCCAAAGTTGATTAAATAATGGAAAATGTTTGTGAACGTGGCTCCAGATTAAGAAGCGTGTCAGAAAAGTGTTGGGGTGCCACTAATTATTATTCGGGAAAAGAGGCTGTTTTACGTGCTACTCTAGGCCGGTTTGGCTATGTTTTGGTCATGCAAAAAAATTGCAAGTGGAAAGTCAAAGGAGGTGCTGTTTTCCGAGTGAAAATGCCTGCACGCAAAGGAACAGTTTACTGCCATGTCCGCAGAGGATTCTCACCGTAGCAGCAAACCTTGAAAACTACCAAGGAGGTGCATTTCTTTGTCAAGGCCACCTAAATCTCGTGGACGAAGCTCCCATATTTACCAACCACGCTCTCTACAAACCCCCTACTACGAGAAAGGTATGTTTCTTTTACACTCAAACAACAGTCAAAATGTAGAGAAACAGATCATACATTCTTAGTTTTGTTTTAGAAAATATTCATATTTTGCATTAAATTTTGCCCTATACATTTGTAGACAAAATGTACTACTTCAGTCCTATGTACTACCCCAGAAAAGAAAATAACTTGGACGGATGGAACCTCTCAGACCGCCCCTTTGCAGAGTGTTAATGAGCTAGCAGAGGCAAAACAATTAATCACCAAATTACAGTGCGAAAATGGAGCATTAAAAGAAAGATGCAAAAAGCTAGAAGGTATTGTATTGACGTACTCTTAATTTCCACACATTCAAAACAAAGACGACTAGTTTCAACCTTTATTAGGAACATTTTTTTATCAATTTTCAGAGCCAACTTTTGATGAGCAGTTCAAAACGTTCCACAAGTGTCTCACTAAACATTACAAGGATGGAGGGCAGCGGCTATACGACCCTGCAGACATGGAAAAATTTGCCAACAAGTGCACCCCTGGATTGTTCAACCGTGCCTTGTGTCTAGTCAAGAATGATGAAAAACAACAGCTTTCTAAGAAAAGACATGAAATACTGAGACTGCGAGTTGTGGCACTGCTTCATCAGCTGTCTTACTTTAGAAACCAAGCGTGTATAATAATAATAAAAAATAAAATAAATAATAATACTAATAATGATAATGGCAATGATAATGATAATAATAATAATAGTAATAATAATAATAATAACAGGAACCATACTTTAGAAAGACACTTAAATTAAATTAAACACCATGGTGTGTAATAGACACAACTGTTGCTTGTTTGTTTTCAACAGAAAAACAATCGCTTACAACAAGACTGTGGGTTGCACTTGTCCTTTCATGCTGCCAGTGATGATGCTTTGACAGCTGGCTCACTTCTAGGGTTTAGCACTCACCCGAGAAGTGTGCTAAATCATAAAAAAGGATTGTCTGGAAAAAGCATTCACAAGACACAAGCGATCGTTGAGAGTGCCATAAAGGTACATGTATTTACGTACTGAAACAATTCATTATTAAACATCTGCCACTGCACAACACCCTGGCCAAAACAATAAGTTGACGCAAGGTGAGGTGGCTGGATGTAATGAAGCAGGGGCTAAATAGAAGGCACAAGGACCTTGTAACAAGGAGACAAAAACAACAAAAATAGAGTGATTTTATTTGAACCGTGAAACAGATATTAACAAACAGTGCAAAATAGCAAGAGGTAAACAAAAGAAGACAATGGAATTAATACATAATAGTGCGTAATATTCTTCTACCTGTTTCACGGTTTAAGTAAAATGACTTTAATTTATCAGTCCATAGATGTACACTGATCCAGTTAAAAATTTCCTCCCCAACAGAACAACAACTTCCTCCTGCTCATTATAGATGATTTTCATTGTGTCCAGTCTATAAAAGACCCCAAACAGAGCCAGCTGAGCAAGTGCCTTCACATGTGTACTGAAGTAGTGGATCACCAAGAATCTATACCGGCAATGCCAACAACAAGAAATGTCCACCGGGTTGTACCTGTCCGAATTGCTGGGGGTGCAATTGTTAACTGCCGGGGAGGAATTGATGCCAACAAAGTGAACGAGTTGTATCAAGAGCATTTGTCAAATTATTTTACATTCAGTTATTTAGACTCTCTACCTGCTGATTTCAGCCAGTTTGACCTGACAAATGTAAACAAAAGTTTAGTTGAATTAAGGTATGATTTACAACAAATCAGAAACCTAAAAGTCAAGGTAGTGGTCTAATAGTCATTGGGTGCCACAAGCTTGTACAAAAAGAATAATATACACTTTTAAGTAATAGATTTTAGTAATGTATTTCATCCAAACTTTTCATGCCATTTAACACTTTGGCATAAATCAATGCCACAGAAATTTTACAATTAACTGGCACCATAAATATCTTTATTATAAATTCCCCCTCAAAAATGAAATTGGCAACTCCCAATGTCAATAACTAGTTTTACATACAGCCCATCATAAATTTTTTCCACATACCACTTTGCATTGTCTCACAATGTAGGAATTTGAAATGGAAAATTTAATATTGAATGGATAATTGACTTTCAAAAAATGTTGCATAAGGGTGCCAAAAAAGAGCATGTACAATGTTTCATGATACAAACAATTAACAAATACCTTGTAGAGTGTATACAGATGAGGCCACACTGTGGCCACACATTTCACAAAAGTTGTCTTGGTAGTTCCTCAAACTGTAACGATCATAACTACTCGATACTGTATGGTGTCAAGTGCCCCATTTGCTCTGAGCAACTTCCTTTAAGAATCCAAGAACTTGCAGACAGTTTCAACAAAGGTTTACTGGCAGGAAATGATGAAACTGACGGAAGCAATGATAATCATGATGACGACGATGATGATGATGGAAGTGACAACTCAGATGATGATGACAGTGATGATGATGATGGCAAACCTGATACACTAGCAAATAAGATACTCATTAAAGCAAAACAATCCCTTTTGCATCTTCCACAAAGTGCTTTATTTAAGTACAGCAACAAAAATTCCAAGAATGTAAACTCCACCGACTCTACTGGAGAAGCAGTAATTGTTAATACTAGTATGGTGTGTGTCACATGTGGCAGGGTCTGTAAGAGCAAAGGGGGCTTGACTCAGCATCAGAACACCCACAAAGGGGTAAATAGTTAAGTGTTTCCCTGAAATGAGAATAACAAAACAATAATCATTTCCTTTTTTAGAAGCAAAGCCAAACAAATAATACAAGCCCTTTGTTTCATGTAAAATACCTTGAATAGGAATAGGCATGATAACACAGGAGAGAAACCTTGAACAATGCCTTTGTTGTTGTCTTTGTCTTGCTATAGGTATCTCAAAACAATGCAACTAGCTAGATAACAAATAACTGTGCTTGTGCTTGCATTTGGAATTTGGTCCATACAATATTATATGAGAACTTTGCATTATAAAAGATTAACTCAGCCCAAGTACTATGCCAGTGAGAAAACTATAGTGATAGTCCTGTCGAGAATACTAATAAGGGACAATGTGATGTACAGGAGTAAGATAGTGTCTTCAAAATATTCGATGTTATTTTGAACATGTAAATATAATAAGATTTTCACTTCAAAATATCACATTGTATATGGGCAAGGATTGTGTATAACTCTGCTAATTCTGGATACATGTAAGCTTAAAAATTCATCCTTAAAATTTCACCTTTCTTAAAACAACCTAATTTTGTACAGTAAAATCATTCCAAATCTATATCAGCCCAAAAAAGAAAGTTATTAACTGTATAAATCAGTTGGTATAAATTGATCTAAAGAAATTACAAATTGGACAACGCGTACAAAAAATAATTTCGCTTCTAGCGGAACAATGTAAACAATTCACACCAAGGAATTCATTGAACAGTGTGGGTATATATAGCCTAGAATCAAAAGCCCATTAAACTTGTAACTCAGGGTGCTATGAAGTGCTATTTTGTTCGGAAGTTTGGTTACTTTTAGCAATGGCTTCGCCAACTGTTAGGTGCCGCAG